ACCAAACCGCCACCAAAGGCAGTAAGGCAGTTTTAAAACCTATGTCTAATTTTGATTGGTAATATGGAGAAAAGGCTAACACACCGAAATCGGTTACACGATTTTACTGGTGTTTCCATGTAAATAGACTTTGTTTCAGGGACATGCAGGTCCCTTTTTTTTTTTTTTTTTTTTTAACCAAGGTGGCCAAAGTATATTGGTCATTATGGATGTTTGTATCTCGCTGGAGAGATTTATCTTTTCTTGGTAATCATTGAGTCAAGTTTTTAGATGGTTGATATGAAATCCAAAATTCTAGAGTTGGTACAGTAGGTTAGGATACATTTTCTATTGGGGACAACTTTTTCTGTGACAACTATTGAGGGGATTTTCTTTTTGCTTCAGAGATTTTTCACTCAGTGTCTGAGGAAGTAAATTTTCTCTGACCGTACAAAAATTCACATGGATGTGGTCTGGGCTTGGGTCTACCATGGGTTCAAGGAGGATGCCACCTGTTCGCAGCCCAGAGAACTAATGCAGGATTTTGCTGGGCATAATACTTTGTAACCATAATGCAGTGCAAACGAAAGAGCACAGAGGTGTATTAGTCTTTTAACTGAAATAAAACGGGCCCCTAAAAATACATTTTATTAATGTCCCCTGAAGTAAATCCACTTCTATTATGGGAACCAGCAACGCAATCCATGTCAATCGGTGTCCAGCCGTGTAGTCCTCAATCATGTGGACCCATTGCTGCCAGTGTTTTACATTCTGCACTCCCGACAGATTCCCCAACTGCAGTAATGTAATCCCGGGTGACCTTATTGATCAGTCATTTATTCAGTGGTGCAATGCTGTACTGACTTTTTTTTTTTTTTTTAATATAATTTTTTTTGGGGGACATAGAGCTTTCTTTTGGTGATATTTAATCACCACTGGATTTTTATTTTTTACTATATAAAGAAAAAAGTACTGAAATGTTTGAAAGAAAGTTTTCCCTACGTTTGTTATGAAACGTTTTATATTTTACCAAAAAAAAAAAAGGTTATTTATAATTAAAGACGAGTCACGTCAGGTAAATGGATACCAAATATGTCAAGCCTTAAAATTGCATGAGTCTATGAAATCACAAACTACCATCCCCAAATTTGCCCATACGTGGTGCTCAGGGCCGTCTTTAATATCAATTGGGCCCCGGGCAAATATTTAATTGGGCCCCTCCCTCCATAGCCCTACCTGTCAAACCCCTGCTACACCCTGCCCCTTACGCAAACATCAGGAACTGAATGATCAGCAGTATGTGATAGCTCAGTTCTTGATCAATAGAGCCGACATGTGACAGCTGCAGTGTCACATCCATGTCCCTATGGAACATCCACAGACACCCACTATGATGTAAGAGTGGTAATGGTGACACCTTGTTGATTATGGTGATGACATCCCACCCTGAGTCCCTCCGCTGTTGTCATATGACATCACTGCTGATATCACATCACCCAGTCGCAATACCACACCCCACCCTCTTTAATCTTTCCCACGATAGAGGCCCAAATCAGCAGCCATGGAGGAGAGACCGGGACTCTATGCGGCACTGTGCTGGGAACAATCAATCCTCCTCCACAGACTGTGCGGGAGGTGACATCAGATTACAGATGCTTGTAGGGAGGAGAGGCTGCTGCTCACTAGCATTTGGGATGGGACGGTGCAGCGGAGGCGACCAGTGCAGATGCAGCATCAGCACTAAATTTATGGATGTACAGGGCCGGTGCAGCCTTACGCTAGGGCCCCACAACAATGACTGGGCCCGGGGCAACTACCCTTTTGCCCCACCTTAAAGACGGCCCTGGTGGTGCTTTAAAAGCTGTTACTGCTCATCAATTTAGTGTTAACAGTAATTGATGGCCCCAGAACTATAGCTCACACTGACTTTTGCGGTGATATGTTATATGTTTAATGTGCAATGGGGGTTTGCTTTTTAACAATAAAAGGTATTCCTATAGGCTGTGTCTTCATACAGCTTGGTAAAGATACTGAAATGTCAACTTTTACATATGGATCCTTCCCCTATCAGTATGATAAGCATCAGCCTGTATGAGGGAATTTGCAACAATTATTGTAGGTTCTGCTGAAGCTACCACTTAGAAAATTAACCTTTTTAAATTTGTGCAGCCTGATATTACTGTATAGACGGTCACTGGTGCATGGTCAATCCTGACTGAGTTCTCCTTTTGTAGATTTGGTATATTAATGTAACCTTACAAAAGTTCCACAATTACAGTATGTCTGACACCAAAATGGAAGGTACTTTTTTTCCTACAGCGTGTTTATTGTATAGAACAAGGAACTTCTCATTGTTTTCATGTGTGGGTGTTTTTTTTTTTTTTTTTTTTTACAAGAGGAAATTTAGAGGGGATATTTTCAGGAGTTGTGAAAAACAAAATGCAGACAGTCCTGCACTAACCTGACATGAACTGGGATTCTGTGAGCGGATTATGTGTAGTAGTCTTTTACATAACTCTTAAAAAATGTCACTTGTCAAAACAATCCTTTGTTTTGTTCGCAATCCTCAATTTCACAAGAGATGCGTATCGTCTCACACGCATATAATAAACTGATAGGCAGCACGGCCAGATCAAGTGTCAGACTGCTCAATCTATTTCTTGAGATTTGCTCATTCATAGTTAAAGCTGGCCAACATAGTCTGAACTCTCTGCTTGGCTTGACTATAACTGGGGTCATTTTATAACCTGATGCCTTGTTTAGCCTTAACACATTATTTTAATACTTTCAGAATGAGGAAAGTCACAAAGCCCTGCTGAAGGATCTGATTATGTACCGCTTGCTCATTCAGAGTTTATATCTTTTTATTGCATACGGTTTTAAATACGTCTTTTTATTAGTCATTGGCACGTCTGCCTTGCAACGCTGGGGGTTTACTCTGGGTACTTTGGTTTTCCCCAGTTCTAATTCCAGACAGGACACCATCTAAGGAGTGTTTGCATGTTCTCCCTGGGTTTCCTCTGGGTATTCTGGTTTCCTTCCACACTCAAGACCTGCTGAAAGGTTAATTGGCTCCTGTCTAAATTGGCCCAGTGTGCATGTGAGATGGGGACCTTAGATTGTAAGCTCCTTGAGGGCAGGGACTGATGTGCATGCGCAGTACGTAAAGTTCTGCATAAATTGTTGGTGCTATATAAACACCTGTAACAAATAAATATTAAGGCTGTGTATTCTTTAAACCACTTCTGGCATTAGGCTAGCATTTATTGGGAAATCGGAAGTCAAAAAAATTGTGTACAGCACTGTTAATGAGTACATAGGATTTGTTTTATTTGTCGTAGAGCGACAATCAAAGTATGTTTCTTTTACATGGAGTGAATTTGTTGCCAGGCTATGGACATTCAAATATTTACATTGTTAACATGCAGTAAATGCGCTTTAAAAAAAGTCCTCACTGACCTTCACAGTTCTATGCACAGTGAAGCAATTAAGTGCCGAAGTCTAAGTCCATTCTCTCAGCTTTTCACTCCCTCTGAAGGCTGCTGAGTCACAGATGGGGGGGAGCAGGGTGAGCTGAGCTGCCTGAGCGAATGACTCCACAGTGCCGGAAGCTACAGAGATTAGCTTATGCAGGGCCGGTGCAAGGATTTTTGCCTACACAGGCGAAGGTGCATTTCCCCCCATTTACAGCCAGCCCCGTCCCAGCTTCCCTCCACTCAGTTTCACTCTGATCCCTGTAGCCTCACGCGGTGCCTCTTGTAGTCATCGCTGGGCAGAATCGCTGCATCGCGTCTCGGTGCTCAGCATGTGGGAGGCGCTCACAATTCTGCCCTGCTAACATGAATAGGTTAAATCATGATCCATAGTACATATACAGCACACACGCCCACTACACTGCAGTAATAGAGTTACAATTATCCCCTGCTAACATGAATGGGTTAAATGATCCGTAATACAACTACATGTTATGTACTATGGATCTTTTAACCTATCCATGTTGGCAGGGGATAATTGTAAATCTATTGCTGTAGTGCAGTGGACGTGTGTAAGGTACATGTACTATGTACTACATATAGAGTATACACTGCAGACAATAGATTTACAATTATCCTCGGCTAACATGAATGGGTTTAATGATCCATAGTACATAACATGTAGTTGTATTACGGATCATTTAACCCATTAATATTAGCAGGGGATCATTGTGAATCTATTGCCGGCAGTGTATTGATTACAATTATCACCTGCTAATAATAATTAGTTCATACTGCTCAATGAAGGTTCCTCGCTGGTGAGGTTGTAGTCAGCGGCGTGCTGTGCTGGAGAGCAGCGGCGAGTCAGCGCTGGTCTGGTGGGAGGAGCTCCAGTTGGCTGGCCGGAGCTCCAGTCCTAATTTAGCTGGCCGGCGACTGCCAGAGGTGCCGCGCGTATCGAGATCCCGCACCGAAGGTATGTGAAAAAAAAAAAATAGCACAAGCATTGGGGCATTTTGACAAGTACAAGTACTTGTCAAAATGCCCTGTTTTTTCCGCCCTTACCCTGCAGCGCCCTCAGGCGGCCGCTTGACTTGCCTTGCGGTAGTGCCGGGCCTGAGCTTATGTAATATATAAAAACTTAAATGTCCTTAGCCACTTTAAAAAGCCCGAACATTTATTGCACGAGTGCCATATGGGATGCCTTTTTCAGATTAAAAAAAAAAGTTTTCAGACTAAATTGCATTTTATTTTTTTAAATGTATTTTTTATACTCCCTTAAAAAAAAAAAATATATATATATATATAGTATACAAGCATTAAAACTTTCAACAAATGTTAAATGTAAAGTTAGTAATTGAGCAGTATGGTATTTTAAGCACTGAGCACCAGAGCACAACCCTACATAACATCCAAATGGGCAGTGTCCAGATGAAACGTCATGTGTAGTTTGTGGAATATCATTGATCAGTCTTTTCACCAATTGTAAGGCATATGTGGGGAAAAAATAAATAATTTTAAGAGTAACTTTTCTGCTTTCTTCCTTAGTGACACAATTATGGCTGCAAAACCGGCTGAGGGCACACAGAACGTTGAGAATGAAGAGTACCCTGGAGATTGCGCAGGTAAATGTACATTCGTTTTTCTCATTAGATAGAATGTTCTCGTGTTTACTGTTAGTGATGTCAACAGGATAAAGTGTAAAACCAGTCCTGCAAATTTCAGTGGATTGTAAAAGATAAATAGAAACTGTAATCTGTTCTATATCTGTTAGATTATATATGCTGTCAGGAAGGAACATGATGTCAAAATACTGTAACATAGGCTTTGTCTACATTTTATGATGGACGGGGAACGGCTGAGCAAATTTTTCCCCAAACAATTCACCAACCAACCAACCACAGTTGGTGTCTCCCGTGAGGAAAATTCCCCTTGCTTCATGCATCAATGAGCACACTGAAAATGCGTGGACATAAAAGATGGTGAACAACTTGTCGCGTTTTAACACTTTATAACCTGTCAAAAAAAGTTCTTGCTAAAGTTCTACTTTAAAGTACAACTAAAGGCTCCTGTATGACCGTCTAAATGAGTGCTATGTGATGCACAAGCCTAATAAAGAAAATTAATAAATCCTCCTTAACTACTCGCATGCTCCTCCTTTCAGACACTGCGGCTCACAGTGGGAGGGTTCCAGTATTAGTCAGTTCTGTTAATCTAAAAATTAGTGGGCTGGACTAGGTGTGGCCAGGTGCTGACTGACAAGCTACAGGCATACGAAAAAGCAGTGACAATGCTGCCATGCCCCCTGCTACAATTTTACATCCCACTGTAGTGCAAGCAGGCACAGCCTACATTAGAGTGACAACTCTGCTCTGAATTTCAGTGCAGCAGCATTGCCACACTATCACAGGAAGCTGCATTAGGTCACCTTTTACTGGCAGGATCAACAGTTGTAAGGTTTTGTAGTAGGTAAGGGGAAACTGTAAGCACAGATACACTTTTAATGAAGTGCTGCAGCAAATACTTTGTATTTTTTTTATTTTATTGGAGGCTATAGCCTCATACCAGAATTTTAGAAAGGCAACATTTGTTAATTTTTTGTACTGATATTCCTTCTATTCTGGTCTCTAGTCCAGAAGGACACTGCTGGCCAAGAGGTAAATCTTTCAGCTAGAACACAACTGTTAGGCCTTGTTCACACCAAAAGCAGACCAGATCTGCATGAGTTTCTGCACACGCAGTGCAGTGGTTTTTGCCGCGTTTTCGATGCGTTTGTTATGCGTTCTGGGCCGTTTTTGGTTAAATGTTTGTTTGTTTTTAGTTTAGAATGGGCTTTTAGTGCGTTCCAGGGCCTTTGCATGTGTTTTTAAGGTGTTTGCATGCGTTCCAGAGCAGGTAAAATAGGGCTTGCTGCAGTTTTTTATTTTTTACATGCTCTGGAACTGAACGCTGCGGTGTGAACTAGAGCCCAAAATACCATTCGGAATACATTGGACGCAGTTTTGATCCGGTCTGTAACTGCTCTGCTCCTGGAACGTGCTTGGTGTGAACAAGGCCTCAAGTCTGTAGCCACTGTAGATAATCATCAAAAAGAGAGGTCTCTGTTATACTCAGTACACCGGAAAACACATTTTAGGTAGATAATCTTGTAGGTCTGCTATATATGATATGAATCAAAATATGCCAAAAAACACAGGATTTATTATTTTTTTTACATTTTTTTTTTTAACCTTATTTGGAGCCTAATTACAGACATTGTAGCTCTAAGAAAAGCATGCTTTGATATGCAACAGTTCAGTATATTGACAACTTCGACATCTGTTATTTGATCAGAGTTCAGGTTGATGTAATGTGGTGTATATTCATTATGAATACTGATCTGCAGTATTCAAGTGCAGACTAACTGTTTTACAACAGTGGCTTTATGCTTGATGTGGGACAGATTCACCCTTAAAGCGGGATTACAGCATATATTCAGTATGTATGCAATATAAGTTAATGCAGACTTTAACTTAAGCAAACCTGTGCCCAGGCTATGGACCTTCGAATATGTTGTCAGGACAACATCAGAAGACTACATGCACATGTGCCAATGTGCAGGACAAAGGTTCTTTCCAGCCGTTTGCCTATTTGTGTGACCAAGCTAAATCACACCAGCACGCGCATCTACATGTGCACGAGGAACTGGATGGTCTTCAGCTGTTACCCTGTGATGTGAAACTGTACCTGGTCCTGTGATCTGCTTACCTGGTCCTGTGATCCGTTTACCTGTTGCTGGCTTGACTTGCCCCTGGACTGGTCTTTTCTCTGATTTCCTGTTGTGACCCGACAAGCTTCTGACCCAGTCTGTTTATTCAAACGGTACTGACTTGTCTGACCAATGGTCAACACAGCTGACTTCCCAGTGTGATCTCAGCTTGCCTCTTGCCCGCGACTCTGCCTTAACACCCTGCCTGCTGTTTGTCTCCTTGGTTGCCAACCACCTCCTGTCTTGGACCATACACTGCCTATTGTGGGTTCCATTGTTCCTGCTTCCCAGTCAGTTTCTCCAGACTCTCTTGTAGCTTTGCTCCTCGGTGATCTTCCTTCAGTTTGCATGAGCACCTCACAGTTAATCCTTCTAGAAGTAAGCTTTTATGGACTGGACTTTGGCACATGTGCTACTCTGTTCTGCCCCTCTTATTCCATGTTCTCCACTCCAGGTGGGTTTGACCAAGGGTAGTAAGGGAAGCACTCTTGTCTTGGTTAGCATGGCGGAAAGTGCTAGCACAGTATGATTTGGAAGCAGTCAACCAATCAAGTGTGCAGGAATGGGTGACCATACTTCAACTGAATAGACTAAGCATTGTCAGCCTAGAAAGTGTCTGTAGATACACATTTGCTGGTAAGATCACCAGAAACAATTTATTTAAAAGCAAGAAAATTAAACTTTGACGGGTTTAATTCACACAGCTGGATAAGTATCCTTTAAAAAATAAAATAAAAAAAAAGCGATGGTCATTTTCATTTAAGGCCACTGAAATTTGAAAATGAGTCACATGTCTAGGAGTGCCTCAGGTTGGTGTTAAATTAGCGCTTTGGGACTTGAACCTATTACATTAAAATGTACAGCAATATATTTGGTGTAAGCGGAACAGTTTTAACGTGCATCTAAATCTTAAGTCATGCTGTAAAGGATAAATGAGATTGATAGATGAGCTGACATGCTTGCCTTTCCTGTGGAAAATTTTGCTCCAGAATCTTTCATCTTAGTCAATTGACCAGACGACAAGGGTTTGGTGATTTTTCTGAAGGAGTGTTTAATTTAATCTTGGTGCTTGTCTTTGTGTACAAACTTCTTGGCTTTTGGTTATTTAAGTAATGCTATAGAGCCTTGGTTCTCAACTGGTGGGTCGTGACCCAAAAGTGGGTCGCGACCCCATTTTCAGTGGGTCGCCGCATGCCTTCCACTTTTCTAGGTGAGATGCTCTTCAGCCTCCCCCTAGCGCAGCACTGTCCATTCTTTCGCCAAGCAGCCATCCAAAATAGGCTGCCCAGGGTCGAGCGTCAGCTTGAGATGGGATGGGGCTATGGTCGTGAGAGAGCTCCATCCATACATGCATTACTTAATTTTTTGGAGTGTGTGGGAGAATGTGTCTGGGGTTGTGCATGTATGTCAGTGTTTTTGAGGACCCATTTACACTAGTACAGTGCATTAATCATATAGTACCGTGCGATTAACGGTGCACAATCGCATCTACCATGCATTGTGATGCGGGAGGTGTGTTGCCTTGCTATTCATTTGAATGGTACCACAAGCGCACACACCCACCCGCAGTCTGTACGCCTGCACTAGAACGCGTGGCACCCTAATGCTGTGCGTTCCATTGCAGTATGACTTGGGTCGCGACTTATTGACCAAAGAAAAATGTGGATCCTGAGGTTATACAGGTTGAGAACCACTGCTATAGAGGGCATGAAACAACATTTTTCTCAAAGTGGATACCTTTTGTTATTTTATTGCTCTTTATTTACCCATCCCAACAAGACTGTTTAACGGTTAAAAAGTTAGTTTAGATCCCCAGCGCAGCCTCAATGCAGCTGGTGTGAATACAGCCTAAAGCTGTCCTGAAAGAAATCTGAAGTCTGCCACTTCTGAACTTTCCTTGTGAAAATACTTCTTGCCTACTTATCCTTCTGACCACCTTGCTTCAGTTACCGGCCAGTGCAATTGCTTTTGATGGGACTCTGGCTTACCTGGTCTGCACATTTGTTTTTGGTTAGTGACTCGGCTTTGAAGCCATGACGGCCAGACTGTGGCAATTTTAGAAAAAGATCACTTAACATTTTTAGTAGGGATGCACCGATACTTGGCATTTTCATGAGAACTACCAGGGTTGCAGCGGTTGTAGCTGGAACCTAGCTCTGGCGCTCCACCACTTTCCTGAAATCATTAGTTTGTATTGTTTTAGAAAAACTGTCGCATAGCAATAAACGTATCATTAGTTGTAAGTACTTGGGCAAGTATCAGTACTTGCAAAAATGTAATCGGTGCATCCCTTTTTATGTTTATAAAAACAAAATGGTACATTAAAACAGATGTACAAATCCTATGAGATCCGTGTGCTCCTTACAAATAACAGCTGCCTCCTAATTTTTGAATTTTTCTCTAGTCGTCTAGACTTTGAGCTCAAAGTATCTGTACTTGTACTTGTATGGTACTTGGTTTTGGTGCATCCCTAATTTTTAGGCTGCTTGATACTGAGAGGAGTCACACTGATGCAAACTGAACAAGTCACCCCAGTCTTCCCAATGAATTCCAAAGATTTCCCAGGCCAGTTTGGAGATGCATAAACCCATGTAGCTACTGGAGGAAAGAGTGTACTTCTGAAGGCATCCACATAGGTCGTCAGGCCAACTTTACAAGTCTTTGTGTGTGTACTTCACCAGTACTATGTTGAGAGACTTAAATCGCATATCAGTTTACTTGCAAAATTAACTTAAAGTGACCCTAAATTTAGGAGTTACATTTTTGTTAATAGTTAAGTACCTTGTATCTTATTTGTGTATCACTCAGCTGTAGATCCTCAGATAATCTCTGAATTGGTGCCGACACTGTCCTTCTGGAGGGTGACTACGTTTGTTC